TAGCCCACACGAGCCCTCCACCGTCGCTCGCTACATTCTCAACTCAATATCACATACCATGGGTACGTCGAACCCCAGACACCGCCTAGACCCTTGACACATGGGCGTCGGCATATCACCTGTCAGGAATAAGACACACCAGGACTAACTGAACACGCAGTTGAGAAGCGCCCTTCAATCGAGGGTCTCGTCGACAATGTTGACCCCCGAGAGTCCCACGAGCTCGAAGAGCTGCCCACTTTCGAGAAGCCCGTAGCCGAGCCTACGCCAGTACCGCTCAAGGAGAAGTTGATAACGTGTTTTTGGATCGCTCTGAATACGCTGTCAACACTGGGCTTGATCTTCCTGAGCAAGCGGTATGCAACATGCAGTAGAGCTAGTGGGGGACCCGCTGACAGTCGGATAGAGTGTTCAGCGACAAGCAGCTCAAAGGATGCCAGCTCATGGTCGTCATGTGGCATTTCACAGCCACCGGTCTCGTCCTCTTCATCTCGACCCTCCGGCCCTTCCATGCCTTCAAGGCCGTACGGCTAAATGTCTGGAACATGCTGCCCGTCTGCGGCTTCTTCGCCGGCTACGTTGTGCTTGGCAACCTTAGCTTGACCTTCAACTCGATCGGTTTCTACCAGCTCTCCAAGGTCATGACTACGCCGACTGTCGTCCTCATCAACTTCGTCCTCTTCCGAAAGCAGGTTACACGATACATGCTGGCTGCCATTCTCGCAACATGCATTGGCGTCTCCTTCACCATCAACGAGGCGGCCAAGACTCAGCTATTCGGTGTCATCGTCGCGACCCTGGCATTCTGCAGTACCGCTCTGTACCAGATCTGGATCGGCAAGAAGATCGAAGACTTCGCCGTTTCGCCACCCCAACTCCTCCTCAACCAAGCGCCAATCTCCGTCTGCCTCCTCATCCCCTTCGTGCCCTTCTTCGACACCATCCCGAACCTATCAACCGTACCCACCGACATCCTCTGGAGCGTATGCGCCTCCGGCATCATGGCCTCGATGTACAACCTGAGTCAGTTCTTGATCATCGGTCGCACCAGCGCCCTCACCTTCAACATTGTCAGCCACCTCAAGACCATCATGATCCTGAGTATAGGGTGGTACAGCGAGGGCAAGATATTGAGCGGAAGAGAATGGTTCGGTGTACTCCTCGCGCTTGGCGGTGGATGGGTGTACTCGCATCTTGCGCTCAAGGCGAAGAAGCAGGGCGGAAAGTGAGACGCGAAACGACATCATTGGAGTCACACGCGCGTGCTTGGGGCAGACTTAGTTACGTCGTACAACGAGCGTCTTGGGCGGATACGAGAGGTCTTCACTTCTTTGGCTACTTCCACGCTTTTTTCGCATTTCTGGATCGAGATTTCACGGCAGACGTGTTAGAATGGGGGAGTTGCAGCCTCTTTTTTGATCAAGACTTTTTTACGCCTTTTCTACCCCCGCGAAAAAGAAAACTTTACGACGACTAGATTGGCTGAACGGTTCGGAAACCACGGACGCTTTCTTGAGACCTTTCTTTCTAGGGGCGGTTCGGCCGGGAGTTTGGAGACCCCATCTTTCTTGTGTGTATGCTTCTAGCATCTTTTTCCCTTGCTTCTCTTTTTCCTTTTATATATTCGGGTCTCTGTGAATGTTATCGATCGACACGGCGCTATATACTCCAATGACATAATTTTGAAAGTTCAACATGCGGGTTTTCGTCGTATGTGAGATGGGAGGCTGTGAGGTGGTACCTATTAGCCATTCCGATTGAAGTGAAGACTTAAGGCAAACCGGGGGCGCCTTACCCTGATTTCGGCGCAATACACGTATCGCAGGCGAGTTACGTATCTCTATAGCAGACATGACAGCATCGCATTGTATGTACATCACTACGCAGGTCCCCCTTCATTGGACCCCACAGTATACGTATGTACTACCTCACAAGTCTACCAGATTCATTCCTCGCACCAAGCGATCGATCGGCAATGATACACAGCCACAGCTCGCCATCTTAACTCTCTGCCTGACAGCTTTCTAGATGCGATGCTAACTCCATAGTAATGTTCTTCGCTGCTTCCATCAGAGATTGGTCTAAACCCGATGTAGCACACCGAACCATAGGTTTCGGGCCGAGTAGGCTTTGGGTCGTTGGATCACCCGTGGACCGCGTTCGAGGGAAAAACGTGATAAGCGACCGGGACAGGAGGATGGAAGTCGAAGGACCAAAATCCCGACCTACAAGGTTTCGTTCAGATGTTGCAAGTTTTCGTGCTGATAATAATGTATGCTGCAGAGCACCTTTTCCGTGTCTTCCAGCTTGCCAGGCGTCCACGTGTGGGCTTGACGTCCCACGTGATCGGCAGAACGGGGGCACAGCCTCGCTTCTAGCGTCCTTCCCTCCACCTACTACTACTGTGGACTCAGCCCTGCGAGGCTCATGTGGTAAATGATGTGCACAATTTGTGGCATTGCGAGACCTTGTGCGCAGTATGTGTGCGCTCGATTACTTCTTAATCCGTGTTGGTCGTTTTGTTGATCCAAAGGTGGGGGATGCCTTATCCGAGTAAACGAACTGGACGAACTGGATTGGGTAGTGGTCGGACGCTGGACGCCTGGTTGCTGATGGGTTGGGGCTGGGGCGGTCACGTTTGTGGGATTAGTGGGTGATGCGACTGGATGTCGAGTGTAGGTGGGACTGGATTGGGGTAGGTGTTGTGACGGTTGTGGGTGCTGTTGTTGCTGTATATGGGGGGCCTGATGACAGTGCTGTGTACGGCCAAGGCAGATTTTGTGGCTGGTAGTGTGGTGAGGTGAGCATGATGAGTACTGTGGGTGGTATATAGGGTCTGGGGATTCTGTGGGAGGATAAGGGCATATCATCATCACGAACCAGTTTTCATCCAGTCGTACATCACTCATACAAGCACACGGATCTTCACACTTCACTCATCTCAAACCCATATACCTTTGGATACCAACATTACCCAAGGCTACGCTTGACAAAGTCATACGATCACACATTCACATCCCGCGATCTACAAACCTTCATACCGACAAGACAAACCAACACCCGTCAAAATGGGCTGCGGAATGTCCAAATCACCCTCCGAATACCCGCCCCCGATGCGGCAAACAAAGGTCTCGAAGCGCAACAAGCGGCATTATGGCGGTGGTAGCGACACGGGAGGCGCATACGCATACACAGCAGGATATGGAGGCGGCGGTGGCTTCTTTAGTGGAGGAGATGGTGGAGGTTGCAGCGGTGGAGATGGCGGCGGTGGTGGAGGTGGAGGAGGTGATGGAGGCGGTGGTGGTGGTGGTGGAGGTTGCTAGGGGATTGAAGGGTATGGAGATGGGGATGTGAAGGGAGGGGGGTGTGGTAGTTCTGGGATTGGCGTTTTGGGTATACCATTTGAGGGTTTTGGGGGTGTGGCATTGGGTTCTGATGGCTTTAGTGATCGTTCTGGATTATCAAAATTTCGAATATTCCTTTCATGTGCACTTTACGTATGCGATGTTCATAAGTTTGAACTTGGTTTCGTGAGTTGCCTGCAGTGTCCACGAATCTTGGAGCCGATGCATATGGATACAAGCTCTGCAACTTCCTGTTCTTGAGACGCGACTGCAGGGCGACCACCGCTTTGGGCCGAGGTGAAAGCCGGACTACCAAATGTCCAGTTTCTGTTCGCGAAACAGAAGCCTGGAACCGGCTGATCTTTGCGGTAAGTATGTTGAGCTTTCGGCCCTTAGCTGTTCGAACCTGCCTAATTCTGTGCGGCTGAAGCATGCTTTAGGACCTTGGAAGGATTGCCAAGTCAGCTGAGGCATTCGTATACGAAAGCGACGTGCCTTGAAACACACAAGAGTTCTATGTTTCCCGATTTCTGTAAAATAGGTCGGTACTACTGCATCGATCAGGTGCTATCGCAAGCGGCTCGATTCGTTAGCATCTTGGGCAAGTGACGATGACGTCAGACTGGTCTGAGCTCGTAGAGCGCATGGCAGACGCTTTTGCCCGAGGGGTAGAGGAATCTCGGGCTGCATCATCGCCGGCGCGTGCGGGTATGATCTCGGATCATCTCCAAGCTTCTCCTGATGAGCAATACCGCGTCGAATCCGACACAAACGACACAAAACAGCCTCCCACAAACGGAGGAGACCAGGAAACCCCATCATGCATCGTATGCCACCATTTCGCCAACGGCTTCGAAACCAGCACGCCAACGGCAGACTTTCTTGTTTCTGCCGGCGAATGTCAAGGATGTTCAATAATCTTGCAGGCTCTTGATGCCGTCACCGATATTCGACGGCCGGAATTCACGACTATCGATATTAGGCGCAAAGAGGCGGTTGACCATTGGCACCTTTTTGACCCCCAGAATGTCTTAAATGTGGCCTGCAAGCAGGAGGGTGAATCATATGGCGGTGGGGTGCTGTTTGGCCGGAAGTATGTTGATAACAGGCCGAATGATTACCAGATCTACACTCCGGTTGGTAAGTTCTTTACAGCTAGTCAGGCTTCTTTCTATCAGCCTAAGTCACCTTTAAAGGAATGAGGAATGAGGGAGTGTTTGAAAATGATGCTAACAGCCTAACAGATGCTGGAGAAGACTCTGCTATTCCATGGCTCGGTATACGCAATAGTGAAAACGACAAGTACCGAGAGCTATTAAGCAATCTCGAAGATCGTTTGAGTCAAGCGCGCAGCTGGTTCGAGCAATGCAAGGCTGATCATTCGCTGTGTGCACCAGACAAGGGTGAATGGCCACGTCGTGTCCTAGATCTCGCAACTGATCCTATCCGCCTTGTGGATAGCGCATCGATTGCATCAGACTCACCACAACATCGGGAAGGTTACGCTTGTCTCAGTTACGCATGGGGCACGACCGGCTCCCTCAAGACGCTGAAAAGTAATCTCGAGACCCATATGCAAGGCATCGATATTTCGACACTCCCTCGCACCCTCGCCGATGCCATCCACGTGTGCAAGGCTTTTGGCTTGCGATACCTATGGGTAAAGCAACCAATACATGAACTGTATCTATCCCAGAAGCTGACCTCATACAACAGATTGATGCGCTATGCATAGTACAAGATGATATACAAGACTGGACGGACCAAATTCCACGCATGAAGTCCATCTACCCAGGAGCCGAGCTGGTCATCTCGGCACAGAGTGCATCCAGCGTCCAGGAAGGATTTCTGTCCCTCAGCCCTGCCGCGAATGCACCCCTCAAACGTATTGAGGTACCCTTTCACATGCCAGACGGCACGTCTCGTACAGTTCAACTCTCCATTCGCGAGCGAGAGGAACAATACTGGAGCAACCCAGCACATCATTCGTCGCGCCCCAATATAGAAGATGTCGACATCGACGAACTTCTCACCCCCCTCGCTACCCGCGCATGGGTGTTTCAAGAGAGCTTCCTAGCGCGCAGAATACTATATGCTACACCATCTGAACTAGCCTGGCAGTGTAGCCAGCACGAGAGATGCGAGTGTCGGAAGGAGGCAAATGAAAACGCCGTTCGATATATCGGCGAAGACGACCATTTCTTCAACGTGCGTACTCTTGGTCAACTACTCTGTGTAGAAGACTCCCGCGCGACCGACCAACCCAATTTCAACCATTCGAAACTATGGGCCGAGATTGTAAAGCGGTACTCGGAAAAGAGACTGACCAAATGGACTGATCGCTTAGCCGCAATACAAGGCGTAGTGGGAGCGTTGCAGCAAGCCATGCCTGACAAGTTCCCGGAGGCAGACTACCTCTTCGGGCTCTGGAAATTGCAGCTAGAAAAGTGGCTGTTGTGGCTTCGTCCCCATCGGAAGCAGCCTGGCGACTCAGAGGCAGTTGCTACACTGAGGAAGATGGCGCCATCTTGGTCCTGGACGACGACTATAGGAAACATCATGTACTATGAGTTTATCTTTGATCCGGAAGTTGTAACTTACACACGAGTCGTGAACTGGGAGCACAAGGAGCCTGATAGCTCTGAGACAGAGGTATTTGGAGCGGGCAAGTGTGAGTTGACGCTCCTTGGTTTTTGCCTCCCGGTTCGGTTACCTTTTTCGGGTCACGAGGATGAGATGGGGTTGGGTTCGTATAACCCTTTCCTCATCCCCGAACGCTATGCATCCTCTGATGCCATCGGCCCCGCAGTCATCGACATGATACCAGACGACCCGACGGACACAACCGTGTTGTCCCGCGTCACACATTTCGCGCCTTTAGTAGGCATCCCGCAAGTGTTCGGCGACAATCCAATGTTGCGTTGCCAGGGCTTGTTTCTGGAAAAAATAGCTGGCCCAGAAGATGAGGGAGGGCCGAGTACTTGGGAAGTTGATGGTGTCACTCTCAAGGTCGAGGGTACGTTCAAGAGAGTGGGATTTGGCTATGATGATTGCAGATATATGCATCTTGGCTGGGATGATATCGAGGACCAACAGAGCGAGCTTCGTGTATTTAAGCTTATTTGATATAGGACAAGGTGTAGGCGGGCGGTGACACTGTGTGTGGATGTGATCAATGAAACCAGGAGATGTTTAAGCCTATCGTGTCATTTCTGCACCCGAAATGCAAAGCTTCTCGAGTCAAACTGCGATCTCGTTGACCTATTATGTCATTGTTCTTACACAAGACGCTGAGGAAACGTCATTGGCAACATAGCGACACTAGCAAGGCTCTACTTGAGCCAAACACGCAGATGTTGATGTCACGTCCTGAAGAAGGAAATGGTATAGACGGGCTAGATGAATACGAAAGCGTCTGGATAAGTCAACTGCTGCCTCATATGACTCTCAGATAGCTACGGCGTACAATGGCATGATACCTTGAAAGCGACACGATGGTTCGTCGCGAACTATCCCATTCTACTTGTAGCCTCAAGTTCGAATAAACCCCCGATATCCAGCAGCCTGTACTTTCTTACTCCTCAGACAGATCATCCAGCCTATCGTCTTCTCCTTTCTTAGCCTATACAACTTCTTTCGTAACGCTGTTCTTCTTTGCCTTCTTAATCAGTCGTGAAGAAGGCAAGACATGAGACGGTGTATCATCCTCCGTTTCACTCAACTTCCGCTTCTGAACTACGAGCTGTGCGCGTCCATGTCGAACCTGCTGAGCAACACCAGTCACTCGGGCATCTCGTTCATCTACCGTGGTCGGTTTGAAACGGTCGACAGGCTCAGCGCGAATCCTAGCAATCTCGCTCAACCCCTTGCGCTTCCGGTTCCGAGCTACCTTCTCCTCTGCAATCTGCTTCGGGGTCTTACGCTTCTTGATAGAAGGAGACGAGCCTGAGACTGAAGCTGAAGATGACTTGTTGCGACCTTCTGATACATCGATGTCAACAGGCTTTGCCGTGCCGCTGCTTTGGCCTGACTTCTGAGTTCGCAGCAGCGCTTCCCCAGCCAGCTCTCTGCGCCGCTCAGCCGCATTGATACTCTCGCGAAGCGCTTCTTTCTCATCGACAAACTTGCTCTCCTTGCCACGGTGGGTCTGAGAGTACATGTTGCATAGCTCTCGGGTCAAGCGTTGCTTCGCCGGAGGTCGTCGACACGCTATCCCGCGGTCGAAGTCTCGGCTCACTCGCTCATTGTCTAGCCGAGTGAATTTCTTGATTATCCTCATCGCCAAGGCATCAGCCATCTTAGTAACATCTACGCCAGCGCAATGTTGATGCTCTGCCCAAGGTGAGGGGTCCTCGTATTTTTCAATGTTGAGAATCCATGAGCCTTTTCGGTTGTCGGGGTCGTTCATGTTCCAGTCCAGAAATAACTCCAAGTGTTGACATAATGGCACTGAAGAGTATTGGTCCCGTTTGGATGGCAGATGGTTGGTAATCTTGACTGCGAATGGATGGCGTTCGAGGAGGGGGTCCTCCGGGTGGTACTGGTCGTTCTCTCGTGGGGCCTTCTGAGCACGACTCAACCCGATCGCACCAGGCATACTGGGCTGGATCCGTGACCTTGGAGTATCCGCCCGTGCATCTGATCCTTCTGATCCCTTCCTCTCTGCTGCGTTTGACCTCTTCCTGTCTTCCGTAATCATATCGCGACAGGTCTTAGCCTGAGCCATGATATCTCCGAACGAGGTCTTGGGACGGGACTCCCGAACGATAGATTCTTCATCCTCAGACTCAGATTCGTACGCTAGCTCTTGAAGATTCCTCATGCCTGTGATGTACAAGTGCTGACCGTTAGATGTTTTTGGCATCTTGGCGAGACGACGTGTGTTGTAGCGGGTATGTATTTTGCGATGTGCCAGACAGTTGGCTTGGGCGATGTTGAAAAGCTGGATGGTGGACAGATTAAGCTAGGTGGTGTACATGGCGCGGCTAAGAACGACTCGAGCTGCGGAGCGCACAACGATAAGAAGGTGAAGAGGCGTACAAGTGAATCTGTGTACAAGCCGGGGGCCCGGCGCATTGAGACAATACCATTGTAGAGTCAAGTTGTATTGACGGGCGTGACTCGGTTTCACCTTCACTTCTGGTGGTCGCGCATCGCTGTAACAATTGGTAGCAGTTGGTGAAACAATGCTATTGTCATCGATCGGGAAGCTGTCGCGATGATTGTGCAGAAACATAGAGGCAGAGTCGAGGCAGGAGAGGAACTCGCAGGGTTCAATAGACTTGAGAGCGATTCAAATGCTCCCGACGGCGTAATTGAACCAAACCGAGGTGAGAAAGACTGTGGGGGTTCAATAGACTTGAGGTAAAAGTAAGTGCTCACCAGGGCGTGGCTGAACAAGCTAGAAAAGAATGTCTAGATATCATGTTGTCAATGCTGGAAAATGAAGAGCAGATTCGCAAGCAACCGAAGTCTAAGCTGCAACTCCCTGCTTAGCTTTCAAGTACTCTGTCAAGTACTGCTTCCGGTACTGGTTCTCGTCCGTCTCCTTTCCCCTGTTTAGCGGCGTCCACTTCGGGTCCTCCTTGAACAGCCGCATAGCCTTGATGTACTGGCAAGACATGTTAGCACTCTCGACTCCCATGTTTTTCCAATTTTCTAATTCACTCACGTTCTGCTCATCAGTAGTGAAACGATGGTAGATCCCCGGCGGCAGAATGATCAGATCACCCTTCTCAAGCCAAATCCGCACCCAGTCATCGCCCTCGCTCCTCACATCAAAGTAGCCCGCACCGTCGAGGATGTACCGGATCTCCTCATCTTCGTGTAGGTGTTCGGAGAAGAATGACTTGACTTTTTCTTCGTAGATGTCGCCCATCTTTTCTGGGCTAACGATGATCTCATCCCGGTTCTTGTAGTTGCGCGATGTAGCAATGGGCTCCACGCCCGAGACTTCTGGTACGCTGTGGTAGATGACACCGAGCTTTTCTAGGTAGTCTGGGTCGACTGAGCGGCCGGAGTCATGGGGTTGGCGTTGGTCGCCCTGTGGAGGTTAGGTCATGTGGATGTGGAGACTGCAAATCGAACACTTACAGGGAGGTTGTCAAACCAGTATGCCTTCATTTTGCAGTATATAGTATCTTTTGGCTGTAGGTTTCGCGAGTAAGGTATCACAGCAACGTGTTGTGGAGGTTGACTTTGCCGTTGGGTATGAAGGAAATAATTTGAGATGCCCAAAAGCACGTGGCGAATGGCGTCATCGGGATTACCCAGCGGGGGTAAGCTAGTCAACCGCCTGAGCGCGACATTCACCACAACCGCCCAAAACATGGAGACTGGAGAGGTAGCTGCTGATGATAAATCATACTCGTACTGCTGTTTGTGTATGCAGGTTCGTCTAAGATTGCTGCAGCTTTTGTTGGAAAAAGAAGAGAGGCATAGTACAGCACGCCTTTTCGCAACAGATCAACAACACATCGCACCAGAAAGCGAACAGATGCTCCTTGCGCTATCGGTCTGATTGATTGAACGAATGATGTCTCGCAGCGTTGATTCTCGTGCTAGCTGGGCATGCGCAGTTCGTTTGGACACAATCCTTCTCTTCCAAGTAGTTTGTTTGCATGTTGAGCATTCCAAGCAATTGACGACGCGCCTGCTGCACTTCCAGATTATTGCAGCTTTGCAAGCATACATACAGTCTTCGTTCTTCCACGCGCCTCCCCGTCGTCTCAGCTCAATGCCTCTTCCAGGCATTCGGTGTCGCTTACACTTCAGCCGAGCTGACATGTGGAGATTATCAGTCCCAGTCCAGATCCTCGTCTTCTTGCTGCTGAGCCCTGGCGTTCTGCAATCTCCGCCTCTCATCCTCTTCGTTGACCTTGTTTCTCGCAAGAACGTTTGCACGAATCAAACGCGCCTCCAGATCGCGAGTGGTGAAGCTTTGCTCAGTGTGGCCGAGTCCCTCAAATCCAATGATGCGGTCAGCTCCGATACCATCGATGAAGGCTATGACACAGGGCAGAACTTGGACTCCTAGGCGTGTGACTAGGAAAGGGCAGTTCTCCACATTGATCTTGAGGAAGCGGGCCTCGTAGTGAGATAATGCAAGTGACTAGATCGTTGTTAGACAATGCCTTTTGTAGCAGTGTTCGTTCTTACCTCGAGATGTGTGTCCATAATACGACACCGGTTGAAGTCGGGCTTGAAAAAGTGAACAACACACAATTGCGTGCTTGTGGTGATATCCATCAACGCCTTCTCATCCTTAATCTCCGTGTATCTGCCATGCTCGTTCTCTTTCAGCCGCCGCGCCTTGTCATACTCGTGATGTAATTGCTGGAGTCGTTGCTCGCGGAAGGCATCTAATTCCTCGTCGTCTTCCAGAGACGCAATAAGCGCATCTTCGTCTGAGTCGTCGTCGCGCGCAGCACGATCAACGAGGGAGGCGACTTTGGGATCTAAGGCGGACATTTTTCTGGTTTTGTCTGGGGTCGCTTGTCGAAGGATCAGGGGAAAGAGTACAGGACTCGATAAGGAAAGTCACGTGGCGATAGGCTACCGGAACGAACAACGCGCGTTTACATACGCTGCTCGGTAGCGTGCGTGAATTGCCCTGGCCGTCTAGAGCTTACGCTACGCGTTGCAGTGAGGGCTAGCAGTGAAAAATAGAACACACCTCGTAAAGGCGGCAGGGTGGTGCTGACAGAGAGTTGCTCGTATTCAAAGGCGGCCTAGCGGCGTGTGAAATTACCACTACCAACAGCAGAGCAACTCCAGGCCAGGGGAGAGGCAGCGCTGAGACCCACCCACTTCGCGTCCCTGCGCATCTCTCTTGCGACGCCCGTCTCCTTCCTTCTGGTCCCACACTCCTGTCTTTTCTTCTTCACTCGACCGCCCCTCCTTCCACGTCGCACATACGCCGCCACACACCTGTCCTCTCCCCGGACATCCCCGTCTCGCTGCCGCATACCACAACTCTCCACACGCGAGCGTATAGACCCCCCTCTCCACCACCATGTCCGACGACAAGAAGAGCGACGACTACAGGGTCGATATGCCCTCCGGCAAGGAGTTCCGCGCGGCGTCGCCCCCTACTCGATCAGCGGGCTCAAGCCGCGCGGGAGGTGTAGCCATCACAGAGAACCCAATTGCTGCGGTTCTGGCATACTGTGGATCTTCCATTATGATGACCGTTACGAACAAATACGTCCTTTCCGGCGTCGACTTCAACCTCAACTTTTTCCTACTCTGCGTACAGGTATGATCGTCCGCGAATGCTACAGACCGCCATTCTAACGCATTGCAGTCTGTCGTCTGTGTAGCAGCCATTTCGATATGTAAAGCCCTTGGTATCATCAACTACCGCGACTTCAACAGCGACGAGGCAAAGAAGTGTAGGTCCAATCTACCATCGACCATACGGCAATATGCTAACATCGCCAGGGTTCCCCATCTCCGTCCTCCTCATCGGCATGATCTACACCAGTACCTGGGCGCTCAAGTACCTTTCGATTCCCGTCTACACCATTTTCAAGAACTTGACCATCATCCTGATCGCATACGGAGAGGTGCTCTGGTTTGGCGGTGCAGTCACACCAATGGCGCTCTTCTCTTTCGGACTGATGGTCCTCAGTTCCGTCATTGCGGCCTGGGCAGACATCCAGCACGCTTTGTCGAGCATGGGTCACGCTGCAGAGAAGACCACTGAGGCCATGTCGACTCTGCACGCCGGATACCTCTGGATGATGTTCAACTGCTTTTGCTCGGCAACCTACGTTCTGTGCATGCGCAAGCGCATCAAGCTCACCAACTTCAAGGACTTTGACAGTAAGTTTATCTAACACCGAAACCAAATGGAGCAATTGCTAATTTCGAACAGCCATGTACTACAACAACCTCCTCACCATCCCGATCCTGCTCGTCGCCTCCATCCTCGTCGAAGACTGGTCCTCCGCCAACGTCGCAAAGAACTTCCCCGTCGAACAGCGCAACACCGTCATCATGGTCATGATCATCTCCGGTCTTTCCACCGTCTTCATCTCCTACACATCCGCCTGGGCCGTCCGTGTCACCTCCTCGACAACCTACTCCATGGTCGGTGCTCTGAACAAGCTGCCCATCGCGCTCAGCGGTCTCGTATTCTTCGATGCGCCCGTCACCTTCGGCAGCTGCTCCGCCATCTTCGTCGGTTTCGTCAGTGGTCTCGTCTACGCCCTCGCCAAGGTCCGCCAAAACAGCAAGCCCAAGACCGTCCTTCCTACAACCAACATCCCACTCAGCGCTAGCAGCCGCAGTATGCAGGACAGCCTGAAGTCATAGGAGAGTAGTCGTAGGCCAAATTTTTCAACGACAACAACGGGCATGAAGGCAAATGACTCTCGTTCCTGTGTTTCTCATGGCATTGTCGCATTGTATTGTATACGAACGAATGTCCCTTTTTTTCACTTCGCCTTTGGGTCCCTAGGGAGGTTCTCTTTCTCAAGGTCAACTTTTTGTACCTCTCATGCCTTGGAGCATCTTACCCATACTATTCAGAGTCTTAGACCGAGTTTGGCGTTTTTGGATCGAAGCAGTGCGGATCCTGCGGTCCGACTGGGGTGGTGGAGTATGTGGAGCGAATGGATGTACTAGCATTTTGTTCAACTACCTTTCATAATTTCGAGTTGTTCTTCATTATGTGTTCTTTGCTGTACATCCAAGCCGATATCATGCTTCAACAGACTCCTGTTTTCATACATCCCGTATTCCCCCTCTCCCTCCACCCCCAATCTCGATCTTAACCTCCACCTCCCCTCGCTCATTCAACACAAACCTTCCTTGCTCCATTATCTGACTAACACGAGCGCACCCGGGTTCCAGCCACGCGCCCCTCATCTTGACATACACCATAGTCCCGTCATTCCAATTCGACTCCGGCAAAAGCTGCTTAACAACATCGCGAAACGGCATATCTCCTGCTACATTCACACGCAAGGTTTCAGTCCCATGACTACTTCTCATCTGCACACGCAGACGCGTAAGCATGGCTGGTAAGATGAGTATCTCATCTTTACCCAATTTCTGCGCCGCCCTGGACGTGACTTTGGCATGGAAAGGGCGGAATAATGAGGTTGTGTTTGTCGAGGGGGGTGGGGAGGGGGTTGAAGCTTGGTCTTGGTTTCTCCTTGGGCGAAACTCGTGTGGAATGTTTGCGTGGGGGTCGCCGGATGGCATCATGTAGTATGGGCGTATTTCGTCTGGGGTGCCATGTTCAGAGGGGCTGGGGGAGATGTCGGAGTAGTGTGAGTGGCGTCTGGCAAAACGGCCTTGTCGGGGGTGAGGGGAGCGGTACTGTGGTTGGGGATGTTGACGCGGCGTATGGCGGTGCTGGCGAGGCGCGTCGTATGTATGTTGAGGGTGGTAAGCAGTCTGGTTTGGGGCTGGATAGCTTGGGTAGACGTATGCAGAGGGCATGGGAGTGCGGCGAGAGTAGTCGCGGCTGAAGGGAGATCCAAACATGTTGACGATGGGTAGTTGTAGAGTGATGGCAATGATAGATTATGATAGTTTGGAGATGAAGAAAGCTTGAATGTTTAATGAAATAAATGTTATGCTGACATTGGTATACCCTGTGGTTGCCTTGCAAGCATACAGCTTCCTTTCGCGTCATGTGTGGTTTGAGAGACGGGAGTATACATTCGTGTGACCAAACTCGGAATCGAGATACTCGTGATTGTCGCGCAAGCCGAATCCGCAAACACCACAGCGCGTGTCTGATCATCATTCAACACACATGCACACGTGCTATGCGCGTTTGAGCATTGCGCTTCGCCTCTGTCGAACCAGAGGACGTAGCTATGCGATATGCACCAACGCGTCTTGGGTGCACATCGTGTACCGTTCGATCGGAGAATGCGATGGGCTTTTCTTGTCGCTCACTGGCATCAATTGAGTGTTGCTACATACCGCAAAGGACAAATGAAATCCATGACCTCAACACCGATCCTCTCGCGCCTGACTAAAGAGAGTTAACACCGTATCCTAACATCCTGTACTTCAGCAGAAAGATGAGCTGTCCCCGTCAAGAGGACGGCAGAATGTGTAGTAAAGCCAAACAAAGAGCGTGCTTATCCATACATGTGACAGACGTTTGACCGCTTGTTAGGCCATAGTTGGCTTGCGAAATGGTCCGTCTTGCCACGATGATGGCGCGTGCGCGTACTGCCCAGAGAACCAGCCACCTATACCTCGCCAGCCTTTGCGGCACCGCCCTTCTTCTTTTGCTCCACCTTGAGTAGCAATGCGCGGTTGATGTGCGGCAAAACACCTCCGAAGGCAATGGTAGCACGGATGAGTGTGTCGAGTTCCTCGTCACCTCTGATGGCGAGCTGGAGATGGCGTGGCGTGATGCGCTTGACCTTCAAGTCCTTGGCAGCGTTGCCTGCTAGTTCGAGAACTTCGGCGGTCAGGTATTCGAGAACGGCGGTCAGGTAGATGCTGGCTTTGGCGCCGATGCGCGTCTTCTGTCGCGTGAGGTTTCGGAGATGGCGCTTTATGCGACCGCAAGGGAACTGTGGTGAAGATGGCACGTTAGCGCGTGGTTTCTTTGTGCTGCACGCGAAGCATTGCGCGGGGTGCAATGGTGATGACGCGTATTGGGCAGCTACTCACTTGAAGGCCGGCTTTGGCGGAGTGCGACTTGGGAGTCTTGACTTGCGCATCACCCTTTCCTCCTGTCTTGCCACCTGTCTTTCCTGCGCATCCTGTTAGCTCTCGAGGCCTTTCGGAGCGCGACGCAAAGTCAGCGCGTACCTTTACCACCGCCAGCCATCTCGGGTGATTTATTTGGGCTAAATGTCGGTGTCGATGGAATCAATAAAGATGCGCGACCGTGATGCCGGGGGTTCGAAGCGGATTCGAGGTGGTGGTGTTTGGCGAGAGGTGGGGTGAATGTGGTCAGGTCTTGCTGGGAAGAGGTTCTACTGTTGTGACAAGGTTACGTTCTTGTACCAATCGGGAAGGCTCCACTTGGCATGTACAAGGTAAGGCACCATTCCAGTCCCCGACCGTGCGACGGCATGCATGAAGATCGTCGGTAATACTGTGAGATACTAGTTACTCTGATCTAATGATTTTGTCGCATTTTCGATGCCTCATGGAATGCTGGACGGTAAGGTGGTGGGGGCGGGTGCACCAGACGTAGCTCTGTCGTTGCCACCCAACGAGAGTGCCGAGGAATAGTTGCCGAGTATGATGTCTGAGTGACTGATGCTTGAACCTAAGAGTGAGATATGATGGAAATTGAATATATTACCGTTCTTGGCCGCCTAGTCAACGGTCGTGCGCTCAAACAAAGCGGCGGCTTTTCGACTACAAGATCTGGAAGTGACAGTACATAGGATTATTCCAGATCTGAAGAACTACCCAGAAGATATTGAATCTGTGATAACGGTCAGTAAAATGTTGGAGAACCTGAAGTGTGATTAGGAAGCACGGCGCGATGAGGGGCGGCAGTGATCGATTACGGCTCTGAGATAACCATCCAACGACCTGACAAGAGTGTACACGATTCGCTCGAATACTTGAAAAGGGTGATCTGTCAGGCGATACGGGCTCGGTCGACTGGCAGCAAGTGGTATTGCAGACAGGATTGGGAGACAGTGACGTAGCAAGAGTGAAGACGGAGAAGATGACGGTTGAGAAGACAAGACGGAGGAATTACTTACAGTGGAGGTATCATAAGCCAGATCACTACCCAGTGGCTGCTCGTCAGTACTGATGGTAAGTTTGATGGGAATATGAGCTCATCGCTTGTACGTATGGCTTCCAAGGTTGGAAGCGATATGAAATCTCAGCCCACCTCCGCGCGAAGGCTGTAGGTCTGAGTCCGATCCCAAGATACTGTGGTCAGTACGGGTAAGCTCGAGATAGTTTCAAGTGTGCACCGCAAAAGTGGTTGGAGTAGCAAGGTGATGAACCGGCGCTCACTGCTCCCGCATCCAGTCGTGGTGGCCCGTGCGTCAAGGTCCCGCCCTAGCGCTACGTCTGCATGGCTCCCTCCCCTGTGCGACAACATGTGTAGATGCTGCCGCAGCCGTGACGAGACCAGCTACTGCGCGTGCGCATAATCCCCACTGCCCGTCTTTTTACAGCCTCAATCACTATCCGCGTCTCTGCCTCTGTCCGGTGCCCCAGGGTCCGAGCTCTGGAGCCAGATTCCGACACGTCGACCGCGCTGTTGCCGACCCCCGACGCCGCATGCCAACCCGCACTGGACGCTCTCTACGCACCAACGATCGCCGCGACGACGCTCTAGCATACCTCTGTCATGGCCTGGCAGTCGCCCTCGGCCATGAACGGCGGCGGTGCCAACGGAGGGGGTGACGGCAATGCGCCCGCCGGCACAGAGTACACATTGCAGGGTATGCGCTTCCCCTGGACATGCCGTAGAGCTGGCGGGGAGACTGGCAGGCTGACCCCCTCACAGGTGTGATGCGATTTCTACAGCTGGAATGGCACAACCACGAGCGTGCACGGAATGCCTGGGACATCGAGCGCGCCGAGATGAAGGCCAAGATTGCAAAACAGGAGGGCGAGGTGCGGAGTGCGAAGAAGCTCAACGACCAGCTGAACAAGCACATTCGCATGCTGGAACAGGCCCTCACCAACGAGAGGAAGAAGAAGAGCGAGGCAGCAGGAGGTGACGCTGAGGCCACAACAGACGACAAGAATGACCCCAAGGGTAAGAAGAGTGGCAGGAACTCGACGAAGCGTGCGTATACTTTACTGCCAGTTTACATTTCGGACGCTTACTAACCTGGCGAAGCTCAAAACAAGAAACACAACTCCTTCCTCGACGTTGACTCAGAGTTCCTCGACCGTGCAGAGGCCGACCGCGAGAATCTACGAGAGAAGTCGAAGCTCTACCTCACGAAATGCGTCGAAGAGATCACGTACCTCCTTACACCACCCCCGCAAGCCCCGCAACAACAGCAGAACATGCAGCCGCTCGCAAACGGCAACGGCTACATGAACCATGGCGAGGCCTCGATGGAAGATATCTACCTCCAGCAACATCGCCAGAGGCTGCAGTCGCAACTTCCAACCATGCCAGGCACATCCATGCCTACCCACCAGCCTCCCAACGTACCAGTCCCCTCCGAACTACAGAGCTTGGCCAACCAGCACCAAATCCACCACGCACCGCAGATGGCACGAGAGCCTTCACAGCAACAACCACTTCCGTCCAACGCTGCCATGGCTCAGGAGCTTCTCGCTGGACATCAACGCCAGGTCCAGAACCAGCAGCACTTCTCCTCGGTGCCCGAAGAGCAGGTTGAAAAGGTCACTCATGCTTTCGACAACGAAGGCCGTCAAATACCGATACGTGGAGATGACGCCTCGGATGCAAGCCAGGCTGCCAACCAAGACAAGGATACAGATGACTGGATCTTCGACCCGGCATCGGAAACAGCTCAGGATGGCCCACCAAGGCGGCCTGACACCGAGGAGTTTCCATCAGCGGATAGCATCCCAGCAAAATCACCACCACGACCAGTCAAGAGGGCCAGCAAAGACCATGTTAGGCGATTGAGCAACGACCAGAAAGCACAGCAAGCCGTAGCTCAGTCAGCAGCAAAGAACGACCCGCAAAGTTTCAAAGTTCGATTCGCACTCCGCGGTCACCTTGATGTAGTGCGGTCCGTCATTTTCACTGGGGGCGGCAGTCCTAGTGAACCCGAGATCTGTACCGCAGGAGACGATGGCATGATCAAGAGATGGATGATTCCCGCAAGTTACGCAAACCAGCACAGCATGAACAATGATCTCGACATCCAGCCGTTCTGGTCACATCGAGGACACGAAGGCACTGTGACATCATTGGCAGCCTGCCCCGCTTCTGCTCATTTCGCTACGGGCGGAAGAGTCTCTGGCGATGGCTGGATATTCTCTGGTGGTCAAGACGCTACGATCCGCGTATGGGAACGAGGCCGGGTCGATCCCAAGGCCACCCTGGAAGGACACACAGATGCTGTCTGGACTGTATGCGTTCTTCCGACCAACTGTGCTAATCTCTTCGGCGCGGACAGTAGCAAGTATGGAGGACCGGACCGCGTCATACTTGCTTCTGGGTCTGCTGACGGCACTATCAAAATCTGGGCTGTAAGTGCACCGCCTCAGCTGGTCTCACCGCAGACCGGATCTCGACGTGGTGTTGGTGGTAGCCGAAGACATTCCGTCACATCTGGCTCGCATCACCCATCCTCACCGCAGCCCAGCATTGCTACTACGACACCATTCCATCACACGTTGATACATACTATCGAGCGCGACACGCATCCTTCACCTACTTGTATCAGCCCGCTGTCACCTACTGGAGAGAACTTTGTTGTCTCATTCTCCGACGCATCTATATTGGTGTACGACACGAGGACCGGTGAGGAATTGATTGGTATGGCTAGCAATGAGTCATATGACGGCACTCCAGCGACTGGTATTACATCAGTCGTGACAAGTTCCCAATACCTTGAAGGCTCGTCACAAGAGGCGGGTCGCGGTGGTCCTGACGAGGAAGGTATACACGGCCCGACGGGGTCTGCCAATGGCGGTCTCGAAGGGGTTGTAATCAGTGGGCACGAAGACCATCTCATCCGGTTCTTCGATGCCAACTCAGGTACGTTTTGCAATATCAAGAAATACATCCTCGCTAATCAAGAACAGGACAATGTACATACAGTATGCTTGCACACCCTGCAGCTATTTCTTCGTTGTCGCTCAGCAAAGACGGCCGGGAAGCCGTCTCCGCTGGCCACGACGCTTCCATTCGTTTTTGGTCCCTTGACAAGCGCATCTGCACACAGGAGATCACCGCGCATCGTATCATGCGTGGCGAAGGTGTGTGCAGCGTAGTTTGGAGTCAGGACGGTCGCCTTGTCGTCTCAGCAGGTGGCGACGGCATAGTGAAGGTATTTGCAAGGTAGTATCCTGCAGAGCCACCAACTACGACTTCTCCTCGCATTTCTGAGCCTCCGTTTCGCATGAACTATTGGCATTTTTAGCTGGACATACCCCTGGATTTTGATCGAAATGGGAAAGGGAAAGCATGATTGATGGGTATTCTGATGGTGGGATGGTAATTTTTTGTTACTTCTCAACGCGCCTTTGGTAGACAGGCATTCGCTGGCGCCGTGTGTTATACTATTGGGATGATCGAGCTCAGCGGGAGACACGCAAGAGCCAGCAAGTCAGTAATCCGACTTTCTCTAAAATCTGGCGGCGTGATCATGTGCGCTCTGCCTGAACGCATGACCTGAGTCCAATGCCTACATAGTAGACACTGTAATGTAGCCGTGACGTATTGATGTCCTGGCCGCGGGGGATCTGTGCACAGAGGGCCCCCGTATTCTGGGCAGGCGCGAACATGGATGCCTAAGCTGAGCTCTGAGCTGAAGCACGCTTCTTTCGACCCCCACCATTTGCGATCGCTTGGAATGCTGCGTCTTCTCTTTCGCGCGCGTTGATTGTTTACCCTGGTGTCATTAGACACGCGTGGACATGTCTGGTATAATCGGTGCTGTATGTTCCTGCCATTTCTAAGCGCGTCAACAGGCTCCGGGAAACTTCCC